CTGGTCAGTATGCATGGTATCCATGAAATATATCACTTTAAAAAAAAATACTGTTCCGAAGTGTGCAATCTCCACTACCTAGATTTATATTGGTGCGTAACATACCTTCCCACTGATCAGCCAAGGAGGAAGTTGGGGTGCTTCAGATAAAAACTATGCAGTCCCCTTTTCACATGTCTTAGCCATTGCCTGGTCTGCTGAGCAGCACAAAGGGGATGGCAAGGAAAAGACCATTGTAAACCTTTCCTCTTTCTCCCACAGTTATGATGGAAATTGGCCCTCATGGTGCTATGATGCTTATGGAAAGGCTAAATAACAGCATGGAGTCAGCCATCATGGGAACTGCAGGGGAGGTTTAACCAGCTGAAAATGTGTTACACAGCAGGGAAAAGAGAACTGGTAGATAAAGAGTGAAATATACCTCTGATGGTACCCACCACCATTCCTGGTGCAGTCAATAGCCAGCTGGGGCCTGAAAGAGGAAAACAACAATGCTCACTTTAAGCCACCAAGAGCCAAACAAAGCCGAACTTTGTTTCTGTAATGAACTTCAGACTGAGGGGTGCATGTTAGTTACATATTTGAATGTTTCACAACAACAACAAGGAAAATTTTCCCCAGCCCACATAAAAAGGATGCATCAGGCAGAAAGCTAGGCTCTCCCAAGATTTCCTTTTTCTGTGTTCAGAGGTCTGTTTTGTTGTTTTTTCAGGAGGGTACATTCAGACACACAAGCGTCTCACTTATATCCCACATATCCCCTTGATTCTACTGATTTGTAAACGTGGTCCTCAGCACTACTGAGTGGTGGTAGGGAAGTTCTTGAAGCGGGACAACAGGCCTTCAACAAATATCATTCGTATATATCCAGAAAGGGAATATTTGGCTAATATTTTCATTGAAAATTGGGGTTGGATGTCTCCCAGTCCCCAGCCTTAGCCAGCTTGGTTTATTAGCCCTTTCTTTCATACATGGAGGCAGTCATCAAAATGTATACAAAGAAAGATCTCCATTGTGAGAGAATAGCCACAGGGAAACAGGTGTGGGCTTTCATTCCAAGGAGATTGACTTGCCTTTTTATGTTTAAGACAAGTTTCAGCTGCTTTATCCTTTAACAGCCTTGCCTGCCTCATACACAACAGCAGATTCCCTATTTTGTTTTCATCACACTCTCTGACAACAGACAAGTTTCTTTAGGGTCACTAGATAAAAGCTTCCAATCTCCTGCTGTTTCTTGGAAATAGAAGTGCCTCCCCCATACCTGATCATTGAAGCAGCTCTGCAGGAGCATCTCTGGGCAAAATATACCAGGCCTCTCTTTCAGTTTACCACTGTAACCTTGAGGAGACAACTTAACAATGAAGTACTCAAATAAGGGCTGAGTCCTACAGCCTCCACTGATAGGTTAACTGCTGGACACATGTGGCAGGAGCTGATGCAGTTGTGTGCCTGTCAGTGCCATTGATGGTGAATGGAGATGGCTGCATAGATTGCCTTTCTGTTTCTGTAAACAATTGCAAGGCCTTAGAAAGCTATTCATGATTGTCAAAGCCAGGAATTTGTATACAACATTTCTTGCAATGTAGAACACATTCCTCTTACACTGTGATGAACTGCGATAACTGCATGCACTTCTGTTGAAAGTGTTTCACATATATAATCTCAGTAACCCTTCAAAACAATCTATTCAACACGTGGATGAGTGTTACTGCATATCAGGGTTGGGGGCTGAGGAGGTCGAAAAGACTCAGAGGATGCAGAATGATGTAAAATACGCATGTGCTGATTTATAGGTATTGATGCAAATTTAGGGGGAAACGACTATAATTTAAATAAAAACACAATACAGCTCTGCATAGTGGGGAAGATAGTGATGTTTTCTAGATAATAATAGTTTTATTTATTATATAAAACAAGGGCCTTGAAGTTGCCCATCAACAGTTAGCACCTGGATGAAAGACAGACCAGGCACACAGATTATGAAGCCCAGTTTTCAAATTACACCAAAGGGAGTTCACTCATAAATAATTTTAGGAGGCTGTTGTGGTGCTAGTTTATTAAAACATATGCTAGAGTTAAGATGAGCACCAACACAGATATTGTCACATTACACTGAACATGTTTTCCTTCCACAAAACTGCACCAGCTTCCATGTAGGAAAAAAGTAATGACCATTGGCTTGAAATGCAAGGCTAGTCTAAGGTCACCTCCAACATTCCTGCATTTGCTTACACATGGGCATATTCAGGATTGCTTCAGCTGACACATTTCACTTGCATCTCAGTTCTCGGATCATAATTGGAGAAAAACCTATTGACAAGCTGGGCAAGTTCATCAGATCCAAACAAGAACCAATTGGGTTGAACTTGAATTGTCACCAGTCAAATAATAGAATATTTCAAAAAATGGATGGATTTTGCTACCAAACATGCACTAACACACACACACACAATTGTCCCTGCACAAGTTGAACATGAACAGGTTAATGCAAAATTAATTGTATGATTTAAACTTATGAAAGGCATTAATTGCAAACAAGATGTTCAAACAACATTGGCCAAACATCTGCATTTATTTTTTTATCTAGTTTAAAAATACACAGAACAATAACTTGGTAAAATCCTGTCACTTAAAGTTTCCCCGTCAAACTTAGGAATTTGCATTAGATCAATGAATCTTTGAAAAAAGAGATCTGCCATCTGGTACATTTGCTAAAAGAGAGAAGGATAATTAAAACTCATCCTTACCAAATGTGCCCCTAAACTCCAATTTTCATACAAATTTGCAAAACAGATGAGAAAAAACATTGAGTCTTTTGATACATAGGTGCTGCTGAATGCAACTTCAAAGCAAGTTTGTCTGACAAGAAGGTGTTGGGGAAAAAATCACACACAGAAAATGGTTCTAAGTTGTTTTTCCTTGTAGAATAAACCAAAGGCTCATTATCTTACAAACTCTTGTGCATACAATGTTCCAATCTGAAATATGGTAATTAGATCAAAACCATTTTTAAAAGGAGTAGCACCAATTAGTTTTATTACTGGTATCAGAGAATCAAAACATAGCCCTATTCTCTCTGACAGCTCAGTAGAGTTGTCTGGGGATGCATAATGGGGGAAGCTCTTCCACAAAGGTTTTTCAGCATCCCACTATTATGACGATACCTGTACTTTATATTTAACTCTGTATCATACCAGTTTAAATAGGTAAAAGTACAAAATGGCCCAGCTTTACTCTTTTGTGGTCCCCTTCAGGACAGACATGTGTGTCTGTAACTGACTCTGATATAGTCCATGAGATGGAGGAAGCCAATAATAATAATAATAATAATAATAATAATAATAATAATAATAGGACTGCAGCATATGCTGCTAAATTCAGATTTAAACAGCCCAATCTGCAGCACAGAAAAACCAAATTTTTGAAATGAGTTGTAAAGTTATTATTTATTAAGATGCTTCACCTAGAAATGTACAGTGGTACCTCAGGTTCAGAACTTTATTTGTTCTGGAGGTCCGTTCTTAACCATAAACTGTTCTTAAGCTGAGGTACCACTTTAGCTAATGGGGCCTCCCGCTGCTGCTGCCACAGCGCTGCCGCAGCACGATTTCTGTTCTCATCCTGAGGTAAGGTTCTTAACCTGAGGTACTATTTCTGGGTTAGCGGAGTCTGTAACCTGAAGCGTCTGTAACCCAAGGTACCAATGTATTCATTTCTTTAATGTATTTATTCAAGAAATATATTTAGTTAAGAAAAGCAATGGGGGATGTAGCAGAACAATCAAAGTTTCAGCTAAGCAACATGATGAACACAGAAATGTACTACATATTTATTTTGGCTTCAAAGGCTTGATGTGGGTAACAGCAGATACAGACCTGGAGATCTGCTTCCATTCAGTGTAAACAATGCTCAGCAAGATGAAGCAGTGGTCTGATTTGGTAGAAGACAGATTTCCAAGTTTCTGCTTCTCTCACTTTCTCATTAAATTCAGTTCTCCACATTTCTGCAGCAATTTGTGATTTTTAAAAATCCTCATGAAAACTCTCCAGCATTTTAGTGTGCATTTTTGCGTAATATACACATTTTTGCAAGCAGTGTATATTTTTATGCTATTTTCACTCTTGTATTTGTTTTATGCACAGTTTCCCTCCATACAGGCAATTTTAGAAAACTGAATTGCAAAATTCAGATCAATGTGAATTCCAAAGGATGGGTATGTTTCAGTTCTTATGCTGTTTCAGAAAGTGGAAATTTGATAGATTTGCTTTTAAATGCGAACTGAATTGAATTTATCTTCCATTCCTACTTGCAGGTACAATACAGGTAGTCCCTTGTTCCTGAAAAGCTTGATATCTATTTTCTAACTGGATAATTTCTAGTGGAAAACTGGGTCAATCAATTCACATTACAGATGGAGGTTTACACCTCTGGGGCCAGTCCAACCATTAGGCAAAATGATGCAGTCGCCTGGGACAAATGATGCCAAGAGACAGGGAACACCAGTGATGCGGAGTAGAGGAACAAAGCTGTATGTGCAGTGTGCTCGGCCCTCTCCTAAACTAGCCTGCTGACCTCAGGTATGAGTGTATCCTTTCCCATCCTCAGTGTTTAAGTAAGATTCCAGTCTGGTTGGCTTTTGTACACAGAAAGGAAAGAGGGACCATACTGCCCTTTGCTCGGCCAGCAAAATGTTTTTGAACAAATAGAAAGAAAACATGCCAGGGAGAAGGGTAGTATTAGATCTTTGCCCTGACTTCTAGTTTTCTGTGCAAGCATTTTGTGTGTGGAATGAGAAATATAATTTACCATAGATTTCCCTCACAAGGTAGAAGAAATCTGCTCTCACCAAGAGAAGATGCATTCAAACATATTATTCACCTCGTGAAATTAACATAGTGGGAAAATTGCTTCCATACATCATCTTGAAAATCAGTCCATAGCAAGCATGTGTGTGTGTGGAAGTGAGAAGAGTTATTCTATTTTTCTTCTTTTTTTATTAAACAGAAAAAACCACAGCCAATCATATTGATTCACTATTTCAAAAAGCGTTCAATTGCACAGTTTAGAACACATTACTTTACTTCTTGTTCCATGCACCAGATGCAGACAACTCTGGTGCCAAATAAGGTGTCATTTTCTTAAAAGAAATATAGAAAATTAATAGGGAGAACTGTTCTAAATACTATCAAAAGAACATTAATTTGACACAATGGAGAAGAAAACAAAACACAAATATTCCCCCTGAGCAGATGGCATTTAAGAAGTGGGTGTAGGGTCAGGAAGAGTTTTTTAAAATGTGTGGGATGTTGGGAAGTTAATATATTGTTCTTCACAAGTATAGCTCCCTAATTTTTAATCTATTTACTTTTATGTGAAATACTATTGAAGTAATTCAGTCCCACTTCCCAAGCCTCCCCACCAAAAGAGCTGATGGGCAGGATTTAAATGGTGGGAATTTAAACCTTCCCCACACCCCTTCTGTTTTGTGTGAAGTCTTGCCTGAAGAAGGGTTCTGGGGCACTCAAAAGCTTGCCACTCTTTTGTTCCATTTTGGTTGGTCCGTAGAAAGGTATTGCCCGACTGCCAATTTTGGGGGCCTCCACCCTTTATGGACCAACACAGCTATCTTTGTTTTGGCACATGGGACATGGGTGGCACTGTGGGTAAAACCACAGAGCCTGGAACTTGCCGATCAGAAGGTCGACGGTTCGAATCCCCACGACGGGGTGAGCTCCCATTGCTCGGTCCCTGCTTCTGCCAACCTAGCAGTTCGAAAGCACATCAAAGTGCAAGTAGATAAATAGGTACCGCTCCAGCGGGAAGGTAAATGGCCTTTCCGTGTGCTGCTCTGGTTTGCCAGAAGTGGCTTAGTCATGCTGGCCACATGACCCGGAAGCTGTACGCCGGCTCCCTCGGCCAATAAAGCGAGATGAGCGCCGCAGCCCCAGAGTCGGCCACGACTGGACCTAATGGTCAGGGGTCCCTTTACTTTTAATATTGCTTAAGATATCCCAGACAAATTTCTTTCTCCATTTCTCAGCTTACTGTTAGTCACTAAAAGCTTACTTTAAAAAACAACAACACCTTCAGTACTTTCCAAAGATATTTAGGCTTTGATGTGTCTTTGAGGGAGAGAATTCTGTAGGAGCATCTCCTGAAAAGGCCACATGCCATTTAGAGGGGTTGCACATTATTGGTAAGAAGGCATTCTCTGGCAATCTTCACGGGTGCAATAGTTCAGAATGAAGGAAGTGAACTCTTGTCAACCGACGGTCAGGGGTGAAACTGTCTGACTGTCAATTTACTGCTGGGTATGGGAGAGGCACAACAAAAGGCTTGTGGGGTTGTGAAGTTGACTTGTACTGAAACATGCTATTGGCTCATTTAGCCTAGTACTGTCTCCTCTGAGTGACAACAATTTTCCACATTCTCTCACAGAGTTCTTTACCAGCTCTGCTTACCCAGTTCAGGGATGGGAAATATCAGGCCAGTGGGGAGACTGTATTCAACCATCCCGTTTTAAGCGGGACATCCCAGAATTACAGAAGCCATCCTGGCTTCTGATTGGATCCTGAAATCTCTCTCTCTTTTTTGTTCCTGCATTGTGGCACATGTCAGCTGGCTTGCGCCAGAGCACCAGACTAAAAGATGCTCTTTTTTTGATCTCATGGATCAACTGGCTCACACGAGAGCCCGGGACCAAAAAATGAGCATCCTGTTTTTGATCCGTGGGATGTTGGAGGGTATGAGAATGAAGCGCTCTAGGTCTGCTAGGCCCTCAAGATTTTCCCCAGGCCACAATCCCTCCCTATGTCACTCCCTTTATAGAACTTCTTCACACCCTACTTGAGTATTTTTGCCTTGAACTGTAAGGGTGCCTCTTGACTTCCTGGCCAGAGGACGGGGGGGGTGTGTGTAGAAATTAGCCAACTACACAAAGGTAAAGCTCATAATATGCATTGCCCCCACCAACTTCTTCCTCTGGCCTCTCCTATTGGAATATAGCTCCCTTGTCCACAACAGGAATACAGTTCATTGGCTGAGAAAGGTTCCCTAGCCTTGTTTTAACTGGGTGTGTCAGGGGCTGAAATACACACTTTCTTCATGCAAAGCCTATGTTCTAATGGTTCACCACCATCTGTATTTTTAAAGCTATTTTGAATGTAGAATATGCATGACATAACAGCTGTATTGCTCAGCTGTACCAAGTACATATTGAGACATTTCTTGCCAATTCCCTAATTTTTCTTTGAATTAATCTGAGCAATTATCTGAGCAATTGTCTAATTTTTCTTTGAATTGCATCTGAACTTTCCTCTATTGGTGACATCAATTAACTAGATTATCTGGATTTCTAAAATGCAATTTCTCTTTATGAATCAGTGATTACATATTTGATGATTTTCCATTGTTCGTTTAAACTTCAACATCTGTAGTAGAAGGATTCTACTTCAAAGGTATTATTCCACTGAGTTTTGTCTTAATTCTGACTGACTCGTTTTCCAGTACACAGGCTACTGATACTTTGTCTTATCGAGTTGGAGTTAATTGTACTTTGTGTTACCAAAGTCACTTAAATATATCAAATGAAGTCCAGTGAGAAAAGTTCTAATAACAGTTTACTGAGCAAACTGAAGAAAAACAGTGCATCATTTGAAGGGAATGGAACAGGGAATGGAACAGAGAGGGAGACACTTATCCAAACATACAAAGAAAGTTCTCACAAAACAACAGAACCAATCAGAGCACATGTGCAACTCGTACCACTTTTCCTGGTTGCCAAGCAACACCCCCCTGCCCCGTTCTTGGCTACTTGTCTTTAACACTAACAGAATTAACCCTTAACTTAAAAACTGAATGATCTTGCCTGTTGCAATTCCAGCACTTTGTACTCCACGCTTACTCCAAGGAATTCGGTACAGTCACTTGTAGATTGCAGAGCCACCCTAAACATGCTTACTCAAGAGTGGAACTCTCTAATTCAGTGGGACTAGCTCCCTAATAAGTGTTGCAACCTTACCCTTACAGCAACTACAGAAGTTGGTTCAAACAGAATAATTTGTCTATGGCTGAGCTTCATGGGAATTTGAACCAGGGTTTCCTACATACAAACTTAACACTAAGCACATCACCACTATCCAATAATCAGAGCCCTAACCTGAGACTGAGGAAGAGTTTACAAATGGGAAAACACTCTGTGAAACTTTGACTGTGGCTGTTTGGCCTCAGTCCAAAGCTCTTACCATCCCCACAGTCTTATTCTTGAAATGCATTGATAAAACAAAGAGCGAGAGGTCCAGGAGGTTGAAAAATCACCCAGATTAAATATGAGACTAAGCCTCTGTTTATTACTGCCCCACTTCCTCGGAATTTCATGGAACTTCAGGATCTCTAACCTGTATGAGAGTTAAGAAAGAAATGAGATAATGGCAACTAGAATTGTTGAGGACCAGAATTAAATATGTGATGATCCAAGTCTCCGTCATAAATGTTAATATGTCCCTTGAAAGCAGTGTTGACAGCTAGATGCATTCAGAGTATTCTGTAGCCTATGATGCTTCCCAATGTAGCACAGAGGTCTTCTACCTGCCCTGACTCCAATTATGCATTTCAGAAGCAATAAAGGATGTTTCTGTGTTTCTAGGCAACCATCCACCTCGTTCTCCACATTTCCTTCTGTCCCTTTCATGTGACAAGCTTCATGGTCACATAAAGCCAATCGTAATGTTACAACAGCAATGGTAGAATCAGCAGGAGTTCAAGGAAATAGCTTGGGCTTTGACGCAACCAAATTTCAAGTTCACCAAGGCAGGTGACATTCCTCAGAGCTATGGGGAGAACACGTGGAAAGGGGGAACAAAGACCTCCACTTCCTCCCTCATTTATGTCTCTGCAGAGAATATAAAACCTGAAAAATAAATGTGGAGAAGGCTGAAATAAAATACTGTATGTTTCCTTTAGGGACAAACATGGATGGTGAGATGTCCAATCATTGTAAAATGCATTATATAGCTTCTGCAGCATGCAGAAACAGCTAAATATGCTCCCTTGATCTGGATTCAGGGGCAAGAGTGAAGATTGTTGCCCACTGTTTTGGAGCATGAGTTTATAATAGGTACTAATACTGGGATCTGAAGTTGGAGCTTTTGGGACGTTTGCCCAGTTGTATATTTGGCTTTCTTTGATAAACATGTAGCTGGATAATTGAACAGTGATCCTTCAGAATAAGAATACTTCCTGCCCCCAAGCCCAGCAAGTGAGGTCGGGGGAGCAATTCCAGCCATTCCTGGATAGAGGAAAAACTGCACAGTAATGTGTATGTGATGCTGGTTAGTGGGGACAGAACTAGCAGGACTGAATAAGCCTGAGTGGTTGGCTGGTTCTTGTCTCAGCCCGATTGGCCCTGGTTGGTAGAGTCACCTACTCTACACTGCTCCTGAAGGGCAATGAGTGGTGGTATAACTAACTAAATCAGCCTCACAAGTGCAGAACAATGCAGTGAGGCACCTTTACAAGGAAGGGAGATTCCTGAATGGACTGTGAGACCCAGGAGTGGGGAAAGGATCCATTTTGAGGCCCAACTGGAACACACATCCAAAGTCATGGGGCTTGGGTGTGGATAGTGAATTGGAAGGACCTCCATCAACCAAGAGGTGGGACCCAGGCAGGTTGTGCCCAGGCTTTCCCTTAAACATACAGAGGAGGAGCAGGTAGCAGCTGATTCTCACACAGATGGTCAGTTTTTTCCTCTGCAGATCTTTGTGAGACCCTCATTTATCTTGGGATTTGCCTCTTAATTCTGAATTGTGAGCACAATTAAAATGATTCCATAACAGGCCTTCCAGGAAAGGTATCAACGGTTTGCCTATCCCTTTATTTTTGAGACCCTAATACCAGATTAAAGGTAAATGTGTTTTCTGGTCTTTCAGAGGCAAATCAAAGTGAGCAATTTATAGGTTTTGGTGAGGGTTTGGTTTGAAGTGTTTTGGAAAAACATTCCGAAGGGTTTCTACACCCCTGCCAATCATACATCATAAGCTGTTTCAGGTTGTCAACTAGAATACAAGCATCACTACTGCAATCAAGAGCACTTTAAGAGATGGCCATTGTAAAACCCCATTATGGGATTTCCCCTAAGTCATTATCTTTTTTCTTAAAGGCTTCTGGGCTACCATGTTTCTTTGAGGGATAATTTCCATCAGTCAGACACATAATACAAAGCATAGCAGCAAAAATGTCAGACCGAATGAAGCTGGATAGAAGTTGGCTGAGAAGATTGCATACATCGTGAAGATAGAAGAGACTTCATATTGTGACAAACTAAGTTTTATATGCTATGGCTGACGGGGACCATGACAGATATCTGTCCTAGCACTACAGCTTGTTGATATCTCTCAAAGACAGTGTGGGATAGTGAATGGAGTGTCCCTTAGAGCCAGGTTTAAATCCTTACTCAGCTCACGGCAGTATTTCACAGAACTGCTGTGAAGCCATAATGGAGTAATCCCATCTATGCCACTTGGGAGGTCCTTGATAATAGGTGGGATGCGCATATGACAGACAGATAAATCACAGTTGCTGGGTATTTAATAGATTATAAAGTATTATCAAAATTCCATTCACATGCCCCATGGCAGTTTAAAATACTAAAACTGACCAACGGTCCAAAATTAGAAACAGCAAAACACTCTCAGGCTGACTGATGACTGCTCCCTGGCTTGGGCTTCTTCACTTCTGCCTTTTCTCAGGACACCGCTGGTTGCAGGGGACTGGCCACAGGGAAGGGATGGGCCAATCAGGGTTTTAACTGCAGTGCTCTAATGTTGCTTCAGTCTTAGATAGAGCCTTATACAGGAGCAGTGGTTCTATCTCAGTTGTCTATTTCTTCAGTTAAAGGAGCCAAAAGAGTGTAGGAATATCTGGTTGTACTGGGGCTTCTGTAATGGAGTCCTCCAAGCCAGAGGATGGCAGTGCAATTTTCTCAAGCTGGAGGGGGCCTTTTCCAGGCATGTTTCTGGGTGTGGCCCCTGTGTGTAATTCCCCTTCTGATTCAGAGTCCTTGATCTCACCCCTAAGGAAGGGGATTCTGATTCTAGGGTCACAGCACTTAGGCCACCTACACACTAGCCTCCACCCCTCTTGTTTCATCACTTGGTGCTCACCTATGTACCAGGGGACCACAACAGAGAGGAGCAACTATGCCTAAGGTCTCTGTTATCTCACTGTTCCACAGTAAGACTAGGGCTTCAACAGGAGAGCCAGAGCAATTGAGAATCCTTCAGGTTGCAGAAGTCTCTTGGGAGGCAGACCTTCTTAATCACCTGCCCCACTCCCAAGCCTACAGCGAGCTGGGGGAAGAGTGAGAGCCGCAGAGCTGCTTTGCTGTGGCTCGTCTGAGACCCAGCCAGAGAGGGAAGGGGGAGAGGGGCTGCCAATTGGTGCAGCCGCACCATCTGCCCGCCCGCCGGGGCTGCCAATTGGCATGGCCGCTCGGCTTGCAAGTCATTAGTTTGGGAGTCACGGGGGGGGGGCTGAGAGGAGAGGAGTGGGCTGCCCCAGAGCGGGGAAGGGAGCGTGCCCTAATTCTCCTTCCCAGACACTCAGGCTGTGGCACCCTCCAAAATCTGGTGCCCTGGTGCCCCGACTAACGTCTATGGGTAAGACATAGTGAGAGTTAGGTCGGGCGTTGGATGTGGCAGACCAACTTCCTTCTGTTCTCTTCTCTCACCACACCTTATAACATCAGCCTCCCTTAAACACTGCTTGTTTGGGCCATTAGATCTATAAAGTCCAGTTGAAGCACTATAGAGGGATATTACCACTACTACTACAGAACAGAATCAAAAGAATTCCTTTTCTCCTTCCTGAATCCAGGGGTGCTCCTACACTCCTACCCAGTCCTTGCCATGTTCTTCAGAAGGCCAAGGCGGTTGCCTTAATTTTAATCTTCAATCACTTTTCAAGCAGCGTGTGAAATACTTGAAATGCGAACATCATTCTAAGCTGTTCTGATAGATTCTTGGCAAGCAGATGTGTGGGGAGAAAAAGATCAAAACAGAATTCATAATGTGTTAAATTAACGGCATTGTTTGCTCCATTGTTTAGCACTAGTGGGGAACTTGGGAGGCCCTAGGAAGAACACGACAAGTCAATCATGCAGATTGGCTCCCCCCCCCCTTCCATGTAGCAGCCTTTCCCAATTTGCTGCTTTCCAGATGATTTGGACAATATCTCACATGAAACCCAGCAAGCGGAGGTGCAATGGCTGAGACTGGTGGGAACTGTAGTCAAAAACATTTGGAGGGTACCAAGTTAGAGAACACACACACAATACAGTCATACCTCGTTACATTCGGTTCAGGTTACGTCTTTTCAGGTTGCGTCCCGCAGCAACCCGGGAGTACTAGAAAGGGTTACTTCCGGGTTTCGCCACTCGCACATATGCAGATGCTCAAAATGACATCATGTACATGCGCAGAAGCGGCAAATCATGACCTGTGCACGTGCACACGTGCAGGTGCGGGTTGCGTTCTACTCATGTTGCGAACGGGGCTTGGGAACTGATCCCGTTTGCAACCAGAGGTACATTGTATACACACACACATACACACACACACACACACACACACACACACACTATTACATTTATTGAGACCTGCATATACCAGGGTAGGTAATATGATAACATTCCAAATGTCATGGGACTCCAGTTCCCATCACCCCCAACCAGCATAGCCATTGGCCAATGGTT